GTAGAAGAAGCTCAGCAATAATACATCCAACCGACCATATATCGATAGATGAACTATATGAGCGTGATGCATAAAGCAATTCTGGTGCACGATACCACCTTGTTACTACCTGCAAAATTTCCTGAACAGAATAAATTCAGTTTACACTATGTTCTAATATGTTTATTAGAAACTAATCAAAAAGATACTTCAGTATATTTGGAAACTGTTCACGTCGCACATCTGCACTTCAGAAGTTGATAACTCCAGTGAATGTTTAAAAAGTGACTAGTGATTGTAATAAGCAAAATACACAAAATAAGTGATATAGCCTACTTGAAATGTGTATTGACGATTTGGTGAACCGAAAAATCGAGCTAGGCCAAAATCGGCTATTTTTATTCGTCCTTGCAAATTAATCAGCAAGTTATTCGGTTTTAAATCCTGAAATTATTCTAATCTAATCCAATGGCGTTACTAATGAGAACTTAAATTCAAAAATATTCAAAATTCGACAAATTTGAGAGAGAAGAAAACAATACAGTGTAGAGCAGTATTATGAAAGCTTATTACATGGATCACTGAAGTACCTACCCGATGTATAACCCAGTGCAAATGGAGGTATTCGAGTCCTAGCAACATTTGCAATACCATATTTTTTATATGTTCAGGCATCAAAATTATTGCTTTGTCTTTCACCAAATGTTCCAAATCTGTCTCCATGAAATCAAACACAAGTTGAATATTTGTTTTGTGTCCAATTATATCTAAAAGCTATAATGGAGCTGATTAGGAAAGATTCTATTTTCAATTTTTTCAGGCATTGGATGCATCTCTCTCCTCTTTCGGTTTCAGTACTTCTGTCAACTTCTCAGTCTGTAGATTTCATTTTTACAGAAAAACTTTCCAACTTCCTAGGAATTATGAAAATAAGACAATATGTGAAAAATGTTAATTAATTTATATCACTAAAGCATTGAGTTCATGTAAATTATCCATTGTAAGGCGTATAGCAGATGTTTATAACAATAGAAATTTTATAAATGTGTGAAGGATGAAACTGTTTTGACAATGTTACAGTGCCACCACACACGTCGCACATGCAATATTGCGAAATTTACTCTCGTGTTGAAAAGGTACAAGTCTGATTCTTATTCTATTCCCTCAAAGTGTGTAGTGTTGCAAAGTGAATAATTTAAAATCCAATCCATTTCCAGTAATTTAAAAGTAAACTTAAACATAAAAAATATTACTCCAATAATATTATCATGATGCAATTCCTGTAGCAATTTAATTTCTCTTAGCGCAGTTCGATTCACACCATCCATTGCTTCATGCCTTGAACCAAGTTTTATCTAAAGACAGGCCGATGTAGAGCAATATTGCTACTAAATGATTTTCGTGTTCTGATTTTCTTTAAAGTATGAAAAGTAAAAGTAGCAATATCATAAAGTACAAAGTCAGTAAAAAATAAATAAAAAATAATCAATCGTAATCTAAATGTTTGAAATTTTTAATGGATTTAGATTAATAATTTAGTTGGAAAAAAATTTTTTTTAACCTTCTTTATTGCAACAAATTCATTTGTTTCCGTATCCTTCGCTTTATAAACATTAGCGAACTGAAACAGTTGAATTAATATGGCACCAGAATGTTTTTATCTCCCTCCAAAAAAAAATTCGTTTCTCCAAAAAAAAAAAAAATTCGCTTGTATCATAGAGGCTCGCTCTAATAAAGCACGAGAGATCTCGAAACTTGAATGCATATCCTTTAGACGCTAGAAGTTGAGGACAGAATATAATATTATAACAGCTTACAAAGTAAGCTCGAGAGATGAATCGCTCCCACTATTTGATTCCACAGATATTTCCATCGACCTTCGATGAATTTAACAACAGTCATAAAAGTTATTTAATTGCTTCCGGTTAATTTACCTGCCCTTCACCAAGATGTTTGATTTTCTCGTAACGATTCTTTGCTGCATCTTTGGACATCACGTTATTCACCCACTTCTTTCTCCTACGTCTGCCGATCCCAAAAAATATTTGAATTTAACGCTTCCTGACCAGAACCAAAAATTTTCAACAGTGCAAGAGACATAATAGCACGGATTTGCAACTCTCCATTCAATGATTTCTGCTGTTTCCATGCATCTTTTTCCGAAGGAGACACTCCTTGCTTATGTAACCAAATAAGAAATTTCTTTCCATAACCTCATTTTTTATGTAATTTCGTGCTGATTTCTGCTTTATATTCTCTTCTGCAAGGTAATTTTATCATGGATGATCAAATAAATCCGTTTCAGAAAATAACATATATTAGACTAACATAAAATCGGTGGCCATATATTCCTTTATTAACAATAAACAAGTCACTTGAAGCTAAACATTCACAAATGATTTACAGAAAAACAACACTTACGACTGAATTTTTGGGAAAAATAACAATCAGAGTACCGAGTTCGGCATAAATTTGACCACAAATAGCTATGTTTATAATTCACAGAAAATTGATAGAAATAGGATGTAAAATTATCAATCAGCTAGTTCTTCATCAGCTATCATTAAGAGATCCTCTGAAAGGGATGAATATGCCATTGCCGGAGGTAAGTGCTACACCGGATCAACCAGTGGTAGGCGAAGGCAATCTCAAAAATAGAATAATCTTGAAGTGATCAATTAGTTACATATTTTATCCCTTCAGATTTGCGACTTGAATTGCAAATTTAGATTTGATAATCATTCTATAGGAATCTAGGAAAACCACATTACATTAAAGGAACGAAAAACTTTGCAGTGGGTCTTCTATTTTCTTTCGATATTTTATTTGGTGTGCAGTTGGGCGCATTTGCTTTCTACGTTTTCGTCTTCCTTCCTTCTTCTCTGATTCACTTCGATAATTTATTCCTCGCAGTGACGGTGGAACTGTAAAACAAAGAGATCTTTTAAAGATTTCTTATCTTCAAGAATTTTGTAGTAAGATTTAGGTATCAAATTAAAGCAAATCCAACTTCGAAATTAAGTTTGCAATTAACAAACAAGATAATAAATACCCATATAATCCGGAACATCGGCAATAGCAGGACTATGAAGATTAACAGAGAATAACTTTTTGTCGTGTTCCAGAACTGCCCTTTCACGAGGGTTCTTAGCAAAATAAGTTTCCAGTCGTTTCGAACGTAATACTTCCGCTCGTATTTCCGCTAATCTAGCTTCTCTGACTGCAGTCTTGGTGCAAGCTGCGAGTACTTCCTGCAAAGAATTTTTTTTAATTCACTATCAAATCACTATGTCGCATCAAACCGTGCTTGAATTTCTGCACAGCAACATATGTAATATGTTATACATTCTGACATTCGTTATTTCGGTTATCGCAGAAATATGAGCCATAATTCAAAAACTTCCAACTTTTTAAGAATTCCAAGTTTTTATTATCACAAAATAAGCAAATAAAACTTTGGTTTTTATGACATACTCGAGCTCTTAACATGAATGATTCTAGCTCTTTGATGCGAACTTCGTAAGGAGTAATTGCGCGATGTCCTAATTGCGCATTAATTCCTTCCTGAATTTCTTCCAAAAAAGGCTTTTCTTGCGGTGAAGCAAATGATAATGCGCAGCCCTTATTCCATCCTCTAGCAGTTCTTAAATGTCATGAAATAAAATATTGAACAATGAACGGAAAAGATAGCAACAGACAAAATTTCTTGAAATCAAAAATTGCCAACTTTTTAAACTTGGAATCAAGATTTTATTTATATTCAAACCATACCTGCCCACACGATGTATGTAGGAGTTAAGCGATGTAGGAAAATCAAAATTAATGACATTTGCAACGTGGTGGAAATCAATTCCTCGTGAAACTCCCGACTCTTTGTCAATACGTCTCCGTTTCTTTTTCCGTATATTTTTTATTTCAGACATCTGAAAAATTAAAAAAGCAAGACTTAAATTAATCGCATGGAAAGTATGAGGAACTACATAAAATTGTAAAATTACTATTTTAAATAATAAAACACAGAATCCATATAACCTCTTCATTTTCATCTTCCATCACTGCATGTGATTCGCCGGATACATCATTTATATCAGAGGCGATGACATAGGAATATCGTCCTTCATTAAACTGTTCCACTACATGACAACGGCTATTAATTGGCATCTGTGCATTCAAAATGCAAGATCGAATATTGAATGCTTGCAAAAAAAGTCCAAGTCTCAAAAAAATATCGCGTTGCAATATTAAAAATGACATGAAAATATAGAGAAACATGAATTCTAAAAGAACCCAGTGAAAATGATGATAGAATAAACCTATTTCCTTCAGTATTAAAAAAAATCAAACAGTGGAACAATTCTCCTTAGCTTGTATCAGCAATGTAAATCAGTGGTGCTACGAATTATTACATGGTTGCTAAACTAAATGAACAAAGCATTAATCCCACACTCAAATGCATTCTTTCGTCTATCTAGTAAATAAATTACAGATACGATATAAGCATTTATTGACAAAAAAAGTATTCCATTAACATCAATCAAAAAAGACCAATGGACTCACTGATAACAACGATTAGTATCTTTGACAAAGATGATCGATTTGCCAACAATTAATTTTAACTTTAACAATGCCAAAAAGATAGCGAAGCGTTCCTCTTCATTTTGACAAGAAATATGATATTGTGAAAGCTGGTCACTATCCGGTAATTGTCCCTCCTAAAACTCATGTTGAAGAAATATTAATTTATAAATATATAAGTTCAAAGAGCCTTGAGATTGACTAAGGTCGTAACAAATCTGAAAATTCTTAACCTTCAATTTCATTAGAACAATTGAACCAGTCACGTAGAGCTCTCTAAGTGCTTCTACTTTTTCAGTCATTGTTGCTGAAGTAAAAATTGTCTGATGGTGTGCAGGGAGAAAATTTTTTATCAGCCTGTAAAAAAGGTCAATAAAAAATTTTGTGCACATAAAAACTTTTTTAATATAAAAATTTTAGCAAAATCAGCTTTTGCAATAGCTAAGCATCACCTCATTTCCTCAGCATAACCAAATGACAATAGCAAATCAGCTTCGTCCAGGACAACATGCTTAACTGATTCGCATGGTTTCTCATACTTCCTCAGAGCGTGCAAAAATCGACTAGGAGTAGAAACAACAAAATCAGGTTTCTTCTAAAAAGTTAATATAAATAACATTTTCTAATTTATATGAAAAGATTACTATGACATATTCTCAAAAAATTTCCAACTAACCAAAAGCCAGTCGTCATCAGTATTTACATTCAGTTCTGCGAAATTCAGTGACAGTAAGAATGGGAACTTCTCTGTTAATTTGCACAGCAATGAATAAGTCTAAAATAAGCGCAATGCAATAACACCTAAAATCAATTTCTTGAATGAAAATTAAATAAAATCAAAATAGAACTGAAACTAGTACCTAAAATTGAGTATTACAAATGATTAGAAAAAAATCAGCCAGCATAATATTCACCTGTTTGGCTAGCTCTTTTGAAGGCACAATGAAAAGCGCAAACGGACCAGCATCTGCGCCACTTGAAGAATTCTAAAAGAAAATTACTGAAGAATGCGCACCCAAGATCTCAATTCAATCTTTTTTCGCGCTACGAACGATAATTACTAATATTTTGTTTAAAAAAGCAAAAAAATAAGTAAAGAAACATTGCAATTAATACTAGCCTAATTCAGAAATGCAGAAAAGAATCCATATCACCACTTTTAAAGAATTTTAAAACCCATTAACCTTATGTCATGAAAAAGCTGGAAGACTAACACATTTCAATTGTAACACCCTTTGTACAATAGGAAGCATAAATGCAGCTGTTTTACCACTACCCGTGCGCGCTCGTGCAATAATATTCTTGTTTTCAAAAGCAGCAGGTATCATTCGGCTTTGAATCAATGTCGGACGTTCCCAACCGAGCTCACCAATAACCTCCATAAATTGAGGTAATTTTGAGTAATGAAAAGTCAAAAAATATCGCTGTTGACAAAACATAACAGTCCTTCCATTACTTAAAGATTTTTTTTAAAAGATATAACTCTAAAGTTTATGAACCGGATTTACTTTTAATAACTGTTCATCCAAACCAAAGTCCTCGAAAGTCATTATTGATTCTTTTGTCGCCACTTCTACATTTTCAAAACATGGTGGTGGACGAGTAATATGTTTTCTAAAATATGCTATACATCTCATCGATATTTTCACAGAATGCTATTGAAGTAATAATGATTTATTACCAAATAAGGCTAAATCGTAAACATCACCTCAGGAAAAAGTTAAGAAAATGTTTAAAATAGTCATCAACATACTTGGATTTTTTTCGTTTATGCTTCCTCGTAGAGGACCTAACCTCATGCTTACTTGAAGCAGTTTCTTCCATTGGATCACATTTACCCTAAAAAAGATGGTAATCATTGTCTGGTTTTAAAATGAAAAATTCAATAGTTCATCCAGGAATTAAATAAGTTACAGATTTATCATGAAAAAATTCCACAAAAATAAATTTTTTTACGATGTCACATATACGTATTATGAACTTACATTTTCTTCATATTCGGAATTTATCCTTTCATCTGCCTTATTTGACTCCGTCATTTTCTTTTTCTTTGTTACCATGATAGATCTGCTCAAAACTAATGAAACGACAGGAGAGCTTTTTGTTTCAATTTATAAAAATATACATTGAAATATGTTTCATACGTGTACTATGTTCCACACATTATCCATTTAAATTTCTGGCATATCAAAACTAATTTAAATTCTCTTTAAAACTAAGAAAAAGAAACCTTTCTTCCCAATAACTGATCAATCCTCAGGTAACTAACTAATCATAACAGTTATCGATTATTCTAGCCAACCCTACAATCAATATTCAACCGTGATTTACCACTGTTCCAGTGGTCCGGTCATTTCGTAAAGCAGGCTAAGTTCGTTTTGAGGTGGTGGTGACAGCGTTTGTTGTGAATGTTGTAAAGCGATCGATTTGTCGATCATTTTAGTTTAATCGCTAATTAGTTCACTTGTAATGATTGAAATACTAATCTGATTGTGCTAAATTAACCAACTATGATGGTTAGAATATGCACATATTAGTTTGAAATATCATATCAGTTTCACCAATCTATATTTTTTGCTGTGAAACTATTTTCGTATACATTTTATATTTTCATGCTAAAGAATGGGCATTATGAATGAATTGGATATGGGCTCCTCTCTCGGTGAAGAAATGAAAGCTTTTAAGAAGAAACTGGCCGAAGTTCGTGCCTCACCGCCATGGATGAGACCGGTGATGAAGAGAGCATCAGAATGGAATCCCTACTCATTTGAAGGAGGGTAAATTTCAAGTATCATTTCAATAATGATAAAATGTGATCTTTTTTTCAAAAGCTTATGTTGGTCAAGAAGCTGTTGCAATGACCGTACCTCTTATTTATTTTTGTTTTGGTTTCACCTGCATTTGGTAATGGAATTAGGTCTTTAGAGTAGGATTTTCAGCTCAGAGGTTATTTTTATGAGATTTCGTTATCTGAGCAAAGAACAGATTATCCTTTTGTTTCTCTAATTTTCACTTTAGAATGAATGCTATTAGTAACAAAGTAAACTCCTTTGACAAAACGAAATAGAAACAATACCATCTGATAGTAGCTCAGAGAATTTATTGTTGACGACTATTTTCTGAAAAAGCTTTTTATGTTATTTTTTGAGCATTTTTTAACAAAAAATAGGAGGTGTTTATTCCAGGAGTACAGCAGCAATTGCTGGCGATAATTTTGCGATCGTGGCAAGTGATACGCGCATGTCACAATTTGAAGTCAACATTTTGACTCGAGATGCTGAAAAGATCCATGTCTTGTAAGGCTTTATTTATCGATCACAAAATAGGAATTTATTCAAACACCATATGTATTTCAAAACAAATGCTAACAGTTTTGAATTTATAGCCTAGAAATGAATATTTCAGGAATGATTCAATTGTACTTTCATGTGCCGGATTTTACGGCGATGTTCTGCAACTGAAGCGATTGTTAGAGGTTTGTTTGGAACAGAGATAAAATTCTTTATATGTTTATATAGTCATTTGTAGCTCTTTTTCATTTTTCAAAAAGTTTACCTTTACTTTCTTTCTAGAAGTGTAATAAGATTATATGATTAATTGTAAATTATGAGTTTATTATAATTTTATTAGTTCTTCATTTATTGCTCAGGCTCGCCTACACAAATATCGGTTCGATTATCGTGGAGATATGACCGTAGATTTATGTGCTGAGTTACTCTCACGAAATTTATATTACCGACGTTTTTTTCCGTATTACACTGGTGCAATATTAGCCGGCATTGATGAGAACGGTATGAATCTTTATTATTTTCGAGCACCGAGAAGCATATCTTATTGATATTTTGAAGCTTATGATTGCATGCATTTCTTAAGTATATATCCTTATTTTTTTTTCAGGCAAAGGAGCTGTGTTTAGCTATGATCCCGTAGGGTGCATTGAACGCATAGCGTATACTGCTTCCGGTAGTGCTGAACCAATGATTATGCCGTTCTTCGATTGTCAGGTTTACTGCATTTTGCATTTTCTTTGGCTATTTTTTGATCTAGAATGAAGTATTTTTGAAATCAGTCAAGATATGGTGTATGCTCTAATCATATCACTATGTAATTACTTGCTGTTGTCCATTCATTATTTTTCTTTCTTAACTTCGAATTACAAATATCGCTTGTGCATCAATAAGATGATGTCGATGTTATTATAATCCTTCAAATGGGGTGAAGTTATCTCAAGGCTAATTAAATTTTCTTATTTCATGTCGTTTTAATCTCTCTCTCTCTCTCTATCTAGCTAGCCTAATTTCGTTAATAAGTTTTCACTTTTTGTAGTAATTGTTGGTTGTTCAATTCATCATTTGCTGTTTCGAATATTAATATACTTTTTTTATAGATTGGTTTGGTGACAATGTCGGATAATGTGGAGAAGCCGAGCTTGACGATTGAGCGAGCCACTTCACTTATAAAAGATGCTTTTCGTGTAGCAGCAGAACGTGAAGTAAGCACGGGAGATAAGATACACTTAGTGATTGCGGAAGCAGGCAAACCAATTCGCAAGATGCATTTACCTCTTCGCGAAGATTAAATTTGCTTGCCATCGTGTGAATCATCACTGTTATTAAATTTTTTATCAGAGAAAAAGAAAGTTACGTTCTTGCAGATTATTTTGGTCTGGTATTTTTCAGTTGCTTCGGAAAAACTCATTTTTGGTGCTTGTTGTGAATTAAAGTTGTGTAAACAATAAATGGCGTTGTAAAATTGGGTTTATTTTTTGTAAATATCGGATTGTTTTATGTAATTTGCAAGAATGTATCGGGAAAATGGATTCTCTGTTAGATAATCTGCATAAAGAAACAAATTTCCATATGTGATTTTTATCATCATTATTTTTCATTTCTTGAATGTTGGAAACATTTATTTTTTTTCTTCTGTTGAACGATTGCTGAATTTAACAGTTGACTTTATTCTTATCAATTTTCGGATGTCCTTAATTTTTTTGAATGATTCTGGCATTAATGTGAGGATAAATATTTTTTATTAATATTAATTGCTGGTTTGCATCATTTCTATCAAATACATTTTTCAACGAAATGAGTATACTGAGCAAATTTTAAATTAGAATAAATTATGTATTCCTTTGCATCATATAAATTGTATCACAGATAAAGGCATTATTTGTTAATTGCAAATATGAAATAAATGTTTCCGTTGGGTATCTGTTTTGTTGTAATAGTTTTGATGCTCCGTGAATGCACCAATTATTCATAAGCCATAAATTCTAAATGTTATAGCATTTCAATTATCTCTATGACTTAAATTGAAGGAAATTTATATTATTATATTTTATTTTTTTATGCTTTATCTAACTGAAATTCAATATAACATTCTGTAGGTGACGGGTGATGCAGTGATTTATGAAATGAACGTTATGATTCATTAAATGAAAAGCTATTCCACCCGTCATGAAGGGAAATGTATAACCATTAGAGAAGATTGATAGTTACATTACTGTTAAAAATATTTCAAAAAGATGAGATTTACGGTGCGGTATGGATATGGTTTTCGGTGAAGGATATAGTATTAAAAGGAGGGTCGTTGCAGTTCAACTTTGTTAAGCAGTTAATATTGAACTTCAGGAAATTATTGCAGCGCTCTGATGTGATTCATTTGGAGGCTGAAAACATGTTCGGAAGTAATTTGTATGGCTTTTTCCTTTTATATTTAAGGTAAGTTGTGTTTAAAACGATATTGGCTAAATTTATCTGTTATTTGCATTTATTCATGTTTTTCCATTATTGTTTTAAGTGAGTTATGTAGCTTTGGATCAATCCAGTTGCTGTCACTTTTTTTAGCTGTATAAGAACTGCACTGAGTATATAAACTACCGTTTTTGAAGAATACGTGTCATTTCAGAACTGTTCTCTCTGAATGCGATTTTTTTTAGATTTCTCTATGTAGTACACTTCGTACAATTTTTGATGTCAGTACCAATTGATGATACTGGATGGATGCTGTCTTATGATATCTCGACATTTAAAAAGTTTGTTTCTAATGTCTTACTTTGATTTTGCGTATTTCTGTTTCAAACGTTAAACAGAGATTTTTTTATAGTTGCAATAAAAATATTAAAATTGTTTAGACAGCTACTTAGGAATATTTTGAGTTCGTCGTAAACAAAACAATTCGGAATTGCAAAATTCTAAAGATTTTTTTGAATTGCAATTGTTTTCAAAACTCTATCGCGCGATTTCAATGGTCTTTCTGAAGTGAAAATGATATGCTTGGTTCTTAAAAATTCTGAGTTCCAAGACAATATGAGTTTTGTGGTCATTTTAACTTACGTTTTTTCTTTCTCAGTACAATTTAGCGATTGAAAATGGATTTATTGGGAGTGCAATTCTTTTTTTATATGTACTTTCACTATAGCTCTATCTTGTTAATACTTGCAATACCATCTTTGTTTTCTTATTCGGAAAACAAAGGACAGGGCATTAAAAAAAGGAGAGCATTATGAAGAAATTTAATGAAGTTGATTCTGTAAAATATTATCTCTATATTTGCTTAATGCAAGTTACTGTCGATTTATTGAAATTTCTCTCTCATTTCGCTTCGATGTATATGTTTCAATTCATGTACAGCTGTAACCTGAATTCTAATTTTTAAGACCATCACAATAAATTTCCCTGGAATTTGACTTGCTAATAGCTGATGAAAATGAATTAAGTGCAATAGGAGAAGTGAGCAGTTATTTCTGCTTAACTTGATAAGTGGTTTGTTTATGGTCGTTGCTTACCACTAAGTTATTGAATTTTTTAACAGAATCAAACGTTATTTTCAAGCGTAGATCAGCCCAAAAACTTCAAAATTGTTTAATTGCGTAGATCTCTGTTTAAAACTTACACTACTCCAATCTTAAAGACATCTTTCCGAAATTCTACAACTTTTGAAAATTATAAATTGCAGATTTCTTTCTAATTATCGCTTTCCAATTTGTTCAATTTATGAAGAGAAGGAGTTTGATGCAACGAGCAATGATACAATATCTGAAGTGAGGAGTCCTAAATTGAACAGCGAAGCGAGGCAGTCAACAAAAAGTACAGCAAAGTCAGCCTTTTTGGAGTAAATTTTTTAGTTTTCATAGATCAGTATTTAATTACTTTGATGATGTTAGTAGTCAAAAGATTAATTTAAAGTTCCGACGATGTTGAAATTTTTTGGATTTTTTGGTCCCTGTTTTCAGTCGAGGAGGAATAGTTGAACGTCATTAAAAAAGAAATGATTTAATATAACCACTTGTGAGTGTAATTTTTTAGTCTTCTCAACTGCTGAATAAAATTGAATGATTTAATAAATAGAACATCTTAAACAAAAATAGAAATAAGGAGTGAAAAGAGTGAAACAGCATATTAACTTAGAGTTAACGAACAGTTTTGATCGGTCAACAATTATTCTGCGTATAAGAGATGTTCATATTTCTCGAAATTTGAGGGATACGGAAGCAAGTGGTGATGTTACTCCCCCTGCACAAGAAATTGATTCAGCTGTTCCTTTTTCTACTGAACAACCTCCAATCGTTACATTTGATGAATGGACGAAGGAAAAATTAAAAAAAGAAGAAATTAGGAAAGCTGAACAACAACAGGTTGTTAATTTTATTGTGGTACAAAAAAGAACCAAAATTAATCGATGATAATATGGCTTATTTCACTAAACACCAAGATGTGAAAATGAAGGTCTCGAGAATTTTTCAAATAGTATATGACTACACATGAAAAATTAAATGTTCGTTTGTTTGATAGTCTAAGTTATAACTTTTTGAACTTTTCAAAACTCTCCAGAATCACCAACATAAGTCGACTGTACATTCGGATGCTGGTGAGACTTCGAAAGTGGATTCCAATGTAGTTCCTGAAATAGTAGAAGGTACAACGCGATTTGCACCATCAAATATGATTTCTCAGGAAGCCGCAGTAAGAAACTATGCTTCGAAAGAATGTGGTGCTAAAGTTCTCTTCAGTAATGATGAAGCCGAAAATAAGGTAAACATATATGAATAGTGTATATTTCTGTAAAGAATTTATTGGGGTTCTTCTCAGTTGTCAAACAGTATGGTCTTTAATACTTTTGCAGAATGCCGTATTGAATGAGAAGGAAGCGGATGATTATATGCGCAATCCCTGTGAACGTGCAGAGCATAAATGGCTCATTATTGAACTTTGTGAAACTATACAGGTGTGAATTCTAGCGAAAAGTTATAATTCATCGATATGTATTAAATTTTGAGAAGCTTTCTCACACATAGTATTTTGACCTTCTTAGAATGAAATTTATACCTTTTTTTTCCGTCGTTACTTGCTACAGAAATAATTCAATAGTCTGATTTTCAGCCGACTGTTTTGGAAGTAGCAAATTTTGAGTTGTTCTCATCTGGGCCGCACAATATTAGAATTTTGGGCAGCGAGCGTTATCCTTCAAATGAGTGGATGGCTTTGGGTGATTTTACTGTCGAGAACAATCGTGAAATACAGCGGTTTCCAATTGTTGCGCGTTCATACGTCAAGTTTTTGCGGGTTAATTTTTAGAAATATGGTACAATCAAGTTTTGAATGACAAATTACACTTTCAGTCTCCGATGTATCCTCCTTTATTGCGTTTTCCCACGTCAAGTTTTTGTTGAAGGAATTTGTAATTTCAGAATTTCTCAACATTTCACATCACATTTGATTTAGGCAATATCCTAAATGAAACTCACCAATGCTGAGTGAAAAAAAGGAATAAAAAAATGACATTTCAAAGAAGAGTGTGTAATTATTTTTCAACACTGTATTTTTTTTCAGTTGGAATTATTGTCACACCATGGTCGCGAGCATTACTGTACGCTTAGTTTGGTACGACTTCTTGGGATTTCAATGGTTGATGAATATGAAGCGGAAGCTGAAGCTGCTGCAGTTTCAGACTCATCATTTGCTGTTCCCGTTGTAAGCATTTATCCACAATTTCACAATTAAATAATTTTTTTTTTAAAGGGTTCTCTTTGGTACTTTTGTCATATTGGAAGGGAAGATGAGATTCATGTTGATGTCTTCTGTAAAAGTTTATTTTCAGGAAGTGCAAGCGGTAAATTCGACAGCTGAGGAGGTGGATGTTGACGTCGTTACCCCAACTAGTAACGCAAACGAAGTTTTATTTGAATCTAAAACGGTATATGTTTTTTTAATTCTTGTTACTTAGGATTTGTTTCTTGTAAATCTATATATATGATTTTATTCATAGAGAGTTAAATACTAGGGATAAGTAATGTTTTATTAAAGAAAAATGAAAGTGTGAACGATTTGCCGTTTGTTGATGTTGTGGTGAATGCAGTTGGCAGCATAGGAATTAATAATATCAAGGATGTCTTCGGATCGACCTTTCTGTCGAAACGTACTGGAGTTTCAACACACAATATTATCAGGTCTCAATATTTATATTTATGCTGAGAAAATTATTTATCATGACTTCTGTAATTTCTCATTCGCCAAATATATGGTGACTAAAAGATTGAAAGAAAAAACTTTACAATATTTGAAGCATCGTACGCAACAGTACTAAATTTCTTTTCATTAAATATGCTAGGCGTTACTTTCTTATTAATTTTAATATTGTACATAATCGGATCGAGCTTTTTGCTGTACTCATCTTTTTATAGAAGCAATGCAACAGTGGTAGAGCTGTGCACGAAATGTTCTCTTGACAATGTCGATAGTTATGTGTTGTTTTGTCGAGCGTTTTTTGGTTTTCGGTACAACTTTGTTGGCACTGACAATGTTAATGTTGCAAAAAATAAGCAGGTTATCACTAGAATATTTTACATTCATACTAGATATTTTGAACATTAGTTCCATCATTTTTTTTTTACATTTCGTGAATGTTCACATATCTTCGTATCAGTTCTTATTACAGGTCGATATTCATTATTCTGTCAAAAGCCAAAAGAAGAATCGGACAAGGGTTCTGGAGTTTTTCCTTGCTTCTATTTTACCAACTTATATGTGTGATCTGGAATCAGGAAATTTTGAAAATATGCAAAATTCCACTTCATATAACGAAACAGAATTGGATAAAATTTCGACGATACCTCCCATCATAAATTCACCAACGACTTCAAATTTGTTAAATAGAAAATTAGGCGGAGGTGAGAAAAAAGCTGAGCATTTTATAAACTAATCAATATACTACTTTATTATTGTGCTATCTGTAGCCTAATTTATTCCAATTGATAGTGGATTTTTATTCCTTTTATAATTATGCATATGTTATATTTTAGGATTTATGATTCCTGGAGGAGTTATGAGCCATAAGGAGTCGATATTCCTGAAATTGAATAAGCGCATTAGTAGTTTGGAATTGAATATGTCTCTCAGCAGTGAATATTTATCGGAATTGAGCCGACGTTATGTTTTACAAACTAATGAAAGTCGACGACAGGCTGAATTAATCATCAAACAAGCGGAAGAAGCAGCTATTAATGCTATTAAACCTGCAATTAATGCTTTGAGAACTCAGGTTTTCAATTTTAGAATAATTTTAAAAACAAATCAAATTAATGTGTTGAAAAATTTTGATGAATTAATGAATAATCCTTGCAGATGGATGATCTTGCAATCAGTTTGAGAGAACTTACTGAAACAGTCAAAGCTTTGCCGCAGGAAGTCACACCAGCACATCACTCCATGATATTAAAGCATGTCGGAGGAAGAAGCGGTGATGCGGATGCATCGTTGGCGCATTCTCAAGCATATTCCCACGGTTATTTTAGCGTGTGGACGGTATGTATTACTTTGTGCTCTTCTCATCACTCGTTCTTTAATGATAATGAAAGATAATAGGTTAGGTCTGCTTTCTGTAGTATGTTTGTTACAAATGTCTCATAATATAGAATTTTATGACTGGTCTGATTTTGTTACATATTATCTTCTTAAAAAAATGTGAAAATAACACAGTAGGTATTGATCGATCTTCACTGTTAGTAGTTGTTGAGTGCTATAAATTCAGACGATATAACATGGTTACCAAAAATAGTTTAAATGAAAGGTAAACTTGCTTGTAACGATGTGTATGTGATTTTTTTATGAACGAATTAATGACTAAGAAGCAAATTACATTTCAGAGTGGTGAACTGGTTTGTATCGTTGTTTCTGTGAATGTTTTAACACTGTTGATCTTATTATTGTTGCACTATGCCTTTACCATTGTTAACCGTAATGCTGCTGGACAAGTAGTGGATGATCGGCTTCAGAAATTGATTCAGGAAAATTGCGATATTCAGTCAACTGGTACATTCATTTGAATAATTTTTATTTTCTAAGAGATTTTCAAAGTTGACTTTGTTGCTTATTGAAGTGAATAACTGATAAAACAAGAGGAAACAATGAATTTGTTTCAGCTGAAGTGTTTCCTGAACATCCTAAACAGCAGCTGATGGCGGAAGTCTCAACCGTAGTTTGTGACGTGGTTGATGCTACTACTCAAGCTGAAAATGTATATAACTCTTCGCTAGCACCACCTAATGACACTTATTTGCTTACGGAAAGGGAAACAGAAGAAAGTCGTCCTAATAGACCGCAGTCAATAGGATTGGTTGATCGACCTTCATCTCAACTTTCAACACATAGTGAACTTAATCTACGGCAGACAAGGAAGCGGAAAAATAAAAAACGGAAGAGAAATACTAGGAGTGAAAATTTCGACGAGCCGTCGTCTCGTTTTGGAATTCTAGCAAATCTGGAGACTGAATAATCCGAATTGAATTATTTTGGTGTTTTGGCCATTGAGATTTTGAGAATTTTTCTTGAAAATAAGCAAATAGATAAAAATTTCCATTTTTATGAAGAAATGAAGATTTTTAAGGTTTCCAGTTAGGTAGCATATTCTTTCATAAAAATGATTCTAAATCACTATTGTTCCTATATCATAAATTGTTAAAAAGTGTTAGCTAGATTTATTGTCGTGTTCTATGATTAATAATTTGAACTCTTTATCGTTTAAATAGAAGATTTTGAGTTCTTGTCTCTTCTTGCATTCCTCTCCTTCTTAACTTGTTGCTCCAATTTTCCTTCTGAGAGTAGCTGTTTTGCCTCTAAATAATTTCTTCAAATTGTTCTATTTTATCGTGATAATTTGTTTCATATCTGGATTAATATGTGAAATTACGAAACTAATGAGAAGTTATTCAGATGAATTTCACGCAAATCTATTTCATTACATTATGTGTTGAAAGAAGAATTCACTATCGTGGTGTTGGATATGAAGTTTTCGGACTTGAGTTGCAACTTCTCTACTTTATCATGCCTCATATCTCCTGTTGGACGGGTCTTTTGCTTATTGGTCTTTTGCTTATTAGTCTTATTTGTCCTTATTTGTCCATTTGTATGCGTGTATATCTTTGTATGTACATTTGTAAATAGTTGAAAATGATCAGTTGATGATTTAATCATTTTTATCATATAGGTGCACATTGATTCATTATCAATTTGACGGAAAATAAATAGCTGAGGAGAAAAATTACATACCAAAACTGAGCTTATTGATTTTTCTCTACAGTGATCTCAAAGTTTTAATTTAAGTCATTTCAGCTTTGTGCTTGGCAGTTTAATTAGCCACGTTGCAGTGTAAGTGATACACTGATCCATACATTGAAATTATGCATTGAATACTTATAGAATGTACAACAAATTGGGTATAAGCGTATAGCAATCTGTTAAAGAAGTATTTCTTCAGTTTCTGATGGTGGTAGTTTTTGATGTTATTCATCCAGTGAGCGCAGTTGGCATTGGCATATTGGGTTGGAGCTATTTGCAGGAAATTTCTCTAGGGGTATTGAATGAAAATTATGAAATTAAACGAAAAGTGTTTGATTTTGAAGGGATAGAAAAGTTTCAGTCTTATATTGCTGTAATAGTTATTCGGCATGTAAACTTCGGGTTGGACTTTTTTATGGTGCAAGAAACTGGTGGTGAATTATGAAATGTATATTTTGTAGTACAAGAGCATTTGATTATAAATAATGGGCGAGAATGGATTGCTTTTTATTGGTAATTTCCAAAATTTGACTTATATTTGTTTTATTTCAAAGAATTATCAAATTTTTTGCTGGATAGAATAATATTTGCACTTGAAATGTCATTGCTAAAATTATTTTCTAGGAAATCTAATAGTCTTTTAAAGTGCAATGAAACATCTCAGAACAACTGCGCTACAATTTCTTTTCATCGTTGAAATTGTTTTATTTCAATAATGATGCTTACATGTTTTGTGTAACATAAATGCTATCTTTTCTTGGCAACGATTTGTCAGTTTTTGAATTGATAAAAAGCAAAATGGTTGTTCATCGATATCCACTGATAGTAATTATCATTAGAGCGAGCGGTTACCCGATTAAAATCATATTTCTACGAAACAATTAAACTTCAAAATGGTTGAACCATTTAGAATGCGTTACGTATGTTTCACTTATAAGTTGAGATATTTATAGTTTCATAACTTCTGATGAGAATGCACACTCATCTGATTTATTTTGATTAAAATTAATTAATTGTGATAAAATGAAAAACTGAAATTCATCGTGCCGCAATTTCATTTAAAATTTTCCTTCAACTTTAATATTTATTTGAGCAATCAAAAAAAGGTGCTTTATAGCGAAAACGACCAAAAAAAATTTGGGCACAAGAAAATGATGTATATACAGGATTGGAAAAAGTATTTTTCCTGATATCTTTTATTCATTATAACTTATTTCCAATTTTCCATTTCATTTCTTACATCTTCTAACTTCATTCCAATTCTCATTCTTCTTTTGCACCTCGCTTTTTGCTTATTTTTAAAAAATTAAAAAGAAAATTAAAGTGAACATTAACATGCAAATTTGCAGTCTGATCGTGAATCACCTCCTCCGAATGTAATCAATGATAATATGAAAAGAAGAAAACAGAGGTTTTGAATTTTTAAAATATAAACGCTGCGAGTAGTACGGAATAAAAATGATGCTAATGATAGAGTAAAAAAAAAATTATCGGTTCATTTTCTATTGTGCTGCAAATATTATTTGGAAAGATTTTGCAGATCGGATGATACTGACAATCCGTATCGTCGACTTTATGGGGTGAACATTTTCAATTCGAAAGGCATTTCTCAGCTCTTTTTTTTTTGAATTTATTTTCATAATTTTTTTCCTTTCATACCGGAAAACTTTCAAAATATTGCTCAATGATAGTTTATTTTGCGGAAATTTTGCTAGATATTTGAGATATTGTTGATTTTTTACTATGTTTGGAGCAATATTATATATTGCTACGATTAGAAACAATCGTTGATTTCAGTGAAGAAATTGAAAATGTTGCAAATTTTCAAAAATAAGTTTAAATGTTTTGTTTGTTTGTTTGTTTAGTTCTTTTTAATTATTGATTTAATGTACGCAGTCTACGCCGTATCAATCATCAAGCGAATTCATTACGCCACCAATAGTTGGAGGGGTATTATTTTCATATTTGTTAAAATTTTTAAAATTAAATACAATATAACATATATGCTACTTAGCATTGTAACAATCGCATATTGCTTACTTCATGAGACAAATTTTATAAAATTTTGATGAAATTTAGCCACTGCAAGTTCCAAGTATTATATTTGAAATCGAAGAAGAGCCAACCAAAATATGGTATTATTGTCGTTGGACAATTTATTGGATATTATGGTTGATAGCATTCACTCTTGCTTACTTCCTCATTTTTCGACAACATTACTGTTCACTTCTAATGGAATTATGATAAATCAATCAATCAATCAATCAATCAATCGACCATATATATGCATTTTATTATTCTATGAAGAAATTGATTTAATTGGAAAATATTCTCAGAGTATTAGATTTATTTGAATTAACTGCAAATGTTCACAATATCTATCTATTCATGAATTTTTACTCAAAATAATGTTTTAGTAATTGATGGTAGGTTTTAAGTGATAATTTTGCTACAGACAGTATTTGTTTGAAATTCTCCCAAAAAAAATGATTATTCCCGAATATGTCATTTTATGAATTGAATAGAGTAATTTTCTGGCGTACTATTATGCAACATAAAACATGAAAATCATTTCATTGAGTGGTGAATAAACTAAAATGATTCTCTCCTTGTTGGGTCAATAACCGAAAGACTATATAACATTTCTTAAGTTAGTGATTAAATTTTAAAATTTGATAAAATCTTCGAGGTAATTGTTACGCAAATTATTCCTTTTCACTAATCTCTTTTCATTTAACATAATCAAGAATTGACTGTATTATTACATCTACGCTTCCTAAATTTATTTTTTTAATCGTTTTAAAACGCCAAATCCATAATACTTCTAATTAGCATGCAATGCTCATTAATTTCCTAACACTTGAATTTAATATTCACTAATATTTCTTTAAAAAAATGGATGCATTTTTTAATCTTTAAATCGAACCAATTCATCTAAAGAGAATTAATCAATTCATATTTCAGAATAATTTTAAAAAAAATAAAAGAATGACGAAATAAACGAATAAACAAAAATCGAGAAGAGTGAGAATTTCTAATAGTCAATAATTTAAAACCAAAAATAATACACGATGCTGCAATTTTTTTTTTTCAAAACATGATATGCTATCATTTACAAAAATTTCCCTTCTCAATTTTTTGAGCGGTACATTTAATTTTAATCAAAAATTCCGAAAAATAAAAGAATAAAAAATTCATCCCTCCCAATAAACTTCTAGATTTCAAAAAAGGAAAAAAAAATGGAAAGATTAAATTTTGAAAATCGTCATCGATTTGCTTAAAGATCGAAATACTTAATTCTTATAAAATTGAATGGAAATATGATTTCCTCCTACAACTGTTAAGATGAACAGTACTAATTTCATCGTTAACATGCAAAAATCACTAACTCACATCGAAGTTAGCTGATGATATCATAATTGCAAAAAACAAAAAAAAAAATTTATTCAGTTCAAGCAATTCGATTAATAAGATTTATATACATATGTGATTAGAGTTGCATGTTTAAAATTATAATCAAAATGTAAACAATCCAAACATCATTTCATTTAAAAAATACATCAATTCAGGGAATTATTAAATGGACAACAAGAAAAATAAGCAGAAAAAAGGGATGGAGATAGTACCGAATTTGATAATTTTTGTTATGTCTTCATATAATTATGGAATTAATTAACAAAGCAGGTTAAGGAATTTGCGAAAAAAAATTAAGAATTTAATAAATTTAATGAATCTTCAGAACAAAAAAAGAACAAAACAAAACAACCCAGATTCAAAAGCATTTTCATATTCTTGTCTGAATTTTACAGAAAAAAATAAATTACTTGTAGAACTTTAACACTATCGACAATCAGATAAACATCAGTTCTACTACACTTAATCTTCTCCTTAGAAAAGCACGCACGAAAAAAAAAACTAGCTTGCCTAATTTCTTAAGTTTTATAATTCGATCAAAGAAGATTTTCTCAGCAAAATTTAAAAAAAAAAAGATTATGTAAGTCAGTAGCAATATACAGTACGTTTTCAAAAAAAAAGGAATACGGATTAATCGGAAACTGTTATTCAATATGAGTGGCTAAGAAAAAAAAAACTACCACGGAAGATAAAAGTACACGTGTGCGTGCCAAACCTGTTGCACTATCAAGGCAATTTTCTCCAATCTAAAAAAACTCGAACTCTTTCGTCATACTTCAAATATCATTCATTTCTCATCTTCCA